TATTCTAGGGCAGAAACATTTGACGGCCTCCAGCATTGAATCTCTTCTCATGGCGTTGAAGGCATTTTTAAAATCGATTTTTAGAAATCCCCATTGATTAGGGAGGTCTGTGACCAATTTTCGAACGGCGTGAACGGCGGCCTCAGCACCTCCTTTCACGCCAACGCCCAATTGAACCGGGTAAAATTTGGCCCTCATTTCATCCATTAGCAGGTTCAAAGCACATTTGCTCGCCAATCTACGCCAACAGTTACCAACAGCGATTGGCCTAACTCCTCCATCTTTTTTGTTCAAGGCTATCAGGCGGCCTCCAAAAAAAAACGGCAAACCGTGGGTGGAGAGGCGCCCGACAGAACCAAATTTATAAATTTTGTTAGGAAAATTAATAGGTCGTCAATTGGCAGGGGGCCGGAAAGTAGGTCTTTGAGATGCTGAGGGCGCAAACCGTCGAGACCTCCGGACGAGCCATTTCCAAAAGACTTTATGGCCTTGAGCACCTGGGTGGAAGAAACGCAACCACTTGTTGGTTCCTGCGCAGGAAAAGCACGCCTGTCAGTTGGTGTTTTTGGATGTATGAACCGTAGTTTTTTTAAGGTTTCAGGCGTGTTTTCTGCCAGGCCCTCGGGCGAGCAGACAAGTCTGACGGCTGCTGAAACGTTTCCCTGCTCTATGCAAGAAGACACCGCATTTATCCACCGGTCAGGGTTGTGGCCGCGTGGATTTGCGTTGATGTGGTTTTCAAAACCCGAGAGCAGGGACGTAACCTCAATCGTGGAGTATTCGGACAGGCGCTTGTTAATCTGGTTGCCTTGGTTGACCCGGCGTCCCCCTCTGGCAGGTTTTTGAAGGACGTATGGAAAAAACAAAAAAAGTCTGCACCAGTGAGCGGGATCACCGGAGTCACAACAAACGGCCGTCAGTAACTCGTGCAGTGCATTGCTACATTTTTCTCTACACAATTTTGGAATGTGATCGTGCAGTGGTACGCGTTTAAAAACGGCCGTCATCCTGTCAAAAAAAGGGGGTAATCCAAACTGGTAGGAATATCCGAAACTGATACGGACTCACCCATTATGAGTCTATCGCTAGATGCGGCTACGTGAGGCGGACCGGTCACAACCTGTGGCGCATCCACCCGTTTCCTCGAACCCGAGCATTCCTGGCCTTTAACCCTTCCACCATGACGGCAAAGTTTCCCGTCTGGTGTGATCTTGTAGTGATTGGAGCAAACAGGGCACTGGTGTAAAACCGGTCCATACAGGTGATTTGGTAAGTAACAAAAAATTAAAAGTTGAAAAATCTAATTAAATCAACAAAAAACCAAGGCAAACTGCGACAAAATGATATGAAAGACTCAATCCCAGGTTGATAACACGCAAAATAATCCAAAAGTTCAATAAAACAAAAGTTTAAAAACATATTAACATACAAAATTTAAATTGAATTCAGAAATCGGCTGGCGCAAGTGTGAGCTAACGATGTATATGTATGTATGTATGTATGTATGTATGTATGTATGTATGTATGTATGTATGTATGTATGTATGTATGTATGTATGTATGTATGTATGTATGTATGTATGTATGTATGTATGTATGTATGTATGTATGTATGTATGTATGTATGTATGTATGTATGTATGTATGTATGTATGTATGTATGTATGTATGTATGTATGTATGTATGTATGTATGTATGTATGTATGTATGTATGTATGTATGTATGTATGTATGTATGTATGTATGTATGTATGTATGTATGTATGTA